TAAATAGAAAAAGGGATTTGAAAATAATATAAACTATAGATACATATATTCAAAGCTTATTCAATCTAAATACCAATAAAAAACTTAGCCATCATATATGACATATTAGTTAACCATATAGGCTAATGAAAACTATAAAATAAATTGACTCCAGGGTTTATTTGACAGATGCATTTTTTTCTTTTATAAGGCAAATTCCTTGTGTTCGCCTCTGGGAAACGTGATCTTGATGAATGGCTCACACTTTTGCTTTCCAATCAATGGCCCCGCTGCCCAAGGGTTAATTGACCCCACCGACTGACCACAAAGTGTGGCATGCTAATTGAGGTTGAAAACCTTCCTCAACAAAAAAGAAAAAAATAAAAACCAAAACAAAAACTTCAAAAGTTTCGCCAATCTATGCAAATGACTTAAGCAAATAGAAAATGATGCGTCAGCTGGCAGTGCGTATGCTTAATATATGTATTAATATTTATATTAATATGTATATGTGCTTATATGGTATATATATTTAGATATTTAGTTGTATGGAACTTTGATTTCACAATTGCAAGCAACGTAAATTAAATTAATATTGATTTTAAATGTGAGAATGACATAGGTAAATGACGCAATACTCAAATGCTATACAGATGAGATATACACGATATACTATATACTGTATACACTTTATATATATACAGATATATGTTCTAGACTAGGGCCAACACTTTGCCTTTTGTTACTGTTTACTGGGCCATAGACAAATCGCGTTGTTTCACCTTAAATTTATTTGTTTCGTTCCATTTGATTTTATTTCGTACATGTATATATGTATATTTGTATTTAAAATTGATTGGCACACACACTTTTTAAGCTTATCTAAAAAAAAATGAGGTGACGTGCAAAAATAAGCACCGCAACAACAAAAACAATTGGCAAAAAAGAGAGCGGGAGAGAATGAATAAAAACTGAAATAAAAAAGTAAAAAAAATTAAAAAAAAAAAAAAACAAGAAAAACCGCTGCGCCGATTGACCGCAACGAAAACTGATTATTTATATTATTTTGTATTTATTTATTTATTTTTCGTATTTTTAGATGTAGTTTGTAGAATGGAGAATCGGACATGACATCACCCAAAAGATTAGAAATCAGCAATTGAGAGGCGAAAATTTATGAACCCATTGTAATGCGCTAAATTTAACAAGTTGCAAGCGAAGTCTCCCTCTACATACATACATATGGCTCACTCCCTCTGCCGCTACCGCTGCCTCTACCGGGCACTGCGACGGCCTCTCGTAGCCCTGGCTCTCTGCTTTGGTGTTCGAGTCTAGTCGCTGACTAATTGGACAAATGGCATTCACAGCTGCCGCGCCTGCCACATAAATCTGCCTACGACAACATCCTGAGCCAAGAGCAAACAGCGAACTGCAAAGGCAAGATAGCCCAGACTGCTCAAGCTCGAGGAAGTCCTCGACTAGGAAGTATCCTCTAGCCAGTGGTTCACTAAGCTAAGCAAGTTGTGAATACATTGAATATTTTTACGATATTTATTAGCATATACAAAAGCCCATATACCCGCCTCAGTTACTACCAATAGTTACAGGGTATTTATGGAGAAAAAAAGAGAACGAGAACGTTGCATTTCCTTTTGCGATTTGCTCATTAGAATTTATTGCTGCCGCTTGTCAAGATTTACGTATCCTTACCACAGCGCTCCACATGACAGATGACAGGCAATGGCAATGGGGTTGCATGTGGCATGCTGCTAGCTGCAAGCTGCATGCTGCTCGCTGCTTGCCTTTTGCAAATTAGTCAAAGTCAAAGATCGGCGGTACGAACAATGCCTCGACTTAGATAATTGCTGACCAAGGCTTTCACAATGCCAATGAAAAGTGCTGCAAGTTGTTTTTATCCCTCTGCGCTTTTTATTTTGCTCTGTGCCCCAACTTCCTATTAGCTGCAACAGATTGTGCGATAGCAATAAGTTAGCCGCAGGCCCACAATGCCGGCTGCATTGGCCCCATCTTCAGAGCCAAGCCTGTCCATTGGCCATTGTCTCTGACGCTGACGCCGAAGTTGAAGCTGACGTGAAGTGCAGTTTCAGTCTTAGCCTCAGTCTTAGCCACAGCTTCAGCTTCAACCTCAACTCAGCTCAGCTGCTTGCAATGCATCATTTGTTAAATATTAAGAACAATAAAATATAATAAGTGGCAGCTAGAACTGCAGCATATCGTTCACTGAACTAGAGTCTTGGGCAAACCAACTTGATATACCCTGTAATCTAGGCATAGGTATTGTTAAAGTTAGTCACATTTAAACTTTCAGTTAGAGCAATGACTATATATTCGAGAAACTTTTCCGGGAATTCTTACTACTCTCCACTGTCTTTTCCTATTATCTCATCTTTAGTATTTGTTCATCTGTCATGTGTCAGACATTGTTTATACTTATCAATTATTGCTATGTAAATAGATCAGCTGTTACTCTGAAAACTTATTCATTATGGTTTTTCCATCACATGGAAACGAGTACACTGAGCGCAAATAGTGTTGCTTTTGACCTTCAAAATCGTTGTCATTTATATTTTTAGCTAAATTTTAAACTATTGTTTATGTTCATATGATGTAGTTCTTTGATCTTTGCTTTTCATGCGAAATTTATGACTTTGAACTTGTGTTTTATGCAAAATTTAAACTCACATAATATATATACATTAATATTTATATCTAATATAATCGACAAATGCGCTCAGACAAGCTATGTAAATTGTGTGGTCTGGGAAGCAAAATAGGCGAAACAAAAATTTATAAAACAAAGGGAAGTCTAAGAAATACTGACTTTAAAAAGTCGGCACACATAAGAAATATTTATAAACTTATCGGATTAAGTATGGCATTTATATATACTGAATAATACTCATAAAAATATTTATATTTTATAACTAAATTATTTTAAATTATTTTTT